ACAATGGCGTTTAGTCACACAGCTAGCGATATCGACGCAAACATTCACAATGCACAGAGACAGATTTTCCTGCAAATATTTAGAAGGCGTTTTAAAGCTTTAAAGGATTTGCAATTTCCTTAGGTGAATAAAGTGCTGAGAGTCACTATGGTAACCAAGATGGAGGCCACAATGAGTAAAATCAGACCCATGTGACATAATTTTGATCGCTTGTTGCGTTTCTTCTTTTTTTTCAGCAAAGTGTCAAAGCCTGGAGTGTACATATCCCCCAACCAAAAACGCAGGTCATTGGGGTTTTCCTAAAAGAAAATAACAGACACTAATCAGTAACCAGTCAGTGTTACAGATGGAGACTTGGGAACAAGATGCTGCCAGAGGCCCTGAGGGTCATATTCACCTTGTTTTGGGTAGGGTTTAAGTGGCAAGGCTTAAATAGTAGGATTGGCATCTCTATTTGAATGTCTCAGATATGCTAAGACAGCCTGGCTGACCATGGATACCTACAGGAGATTTGTCTGTCTGTATCAGAATTTGTTAGGGAGCCTGCACAATTCCTGCATTAAATTGCTGACAATTCCAAGTCAGAAACATTATAATCATCTTTTAGCTAAATGTGTGTTTCTAGCATCCTATAAATAATGCCTATAAATCAGTTAAGTGACTTGAAATACAATTACAATTCCTAGCTTTAGATGAACCCTGGAGGTTTTATCTCATCTTTGTGGCAGGGATAAGAATTTGCTAAGTTTCAGAAAATCCCAAATGACTTCCATGAAGGAAGAATAAGGCTAGGTCTTAAGAGTGCCTTCCAGGCCCATGTGAATTCATCAATGAATAAATGTCTAATAAATAAAACAAAACAAAACAAAACAAAAGAGTGCCTTCCATGGCAGAGGTGCAGTACATCTTCCAAACAGGAACTCCGGAAACATGGTTCATCATTCCTTGTCTTAGATCCTATCCATATGGTGTCTCTGTCTCATTGGCTCCATCTTCTGTTGAGTGCCAGAGAATTCTCTTTAAGGATTCTGCTTTCAAGTGCTCAATAAGTCACCTATACACTCTAGTATCCCATATACTCTTTGAAAAAAATTATTCTCTAGTCTCTAATTAGTTTAGTGTAATCAGTTCTCTGTCTCATAAATTGAGTTTACGAAGATAGTTGAGTTACCACTTTCACACAGCAGCTGCAAGCTTTGGATTTTCTAGCATGGATGTTTTGAAGGATTTGAAATAGGCTATCACTCTCAGTGGTTTTAGTGGACACATGTCAGCCAGTGGTGTCACAAAACCAATTTCCTGTAGCTGGCAGGCTGTGGGGTCTCTGAACTAATCAGACTTGGGGCTGTAGTGCTGGGAGGGGCGTGCACATGCCCATGGGTAGCCAGGATGGACTTGGCAATGACAGTGCTCCTATATGAAGGTGTAAGTGGGTTTAAACAACCTGTTTAGACATGCTAAAGAATTACAATTGAATTTACAAAGCCTGTGCAGAAGAATACTGACTTAAAAAAAAAAAAAACCCTCATCTGCCTTCCCCTTGTTTTTTATCTTGTTTGTGCCCCAATCAGAGTCCTGAATGTTGCAAATGTAGTGATTTAAGGTTTTTTACCAATGGCTTCCCTAATGGAGACAATCCTCTCCTAAAACCCTGCTTCTGCTTGCATTGGTAATTAAGTGTATCATTTCTTTATCTTATGTGACTTATAACTCCTCAATCTAGAAAAATTTAGTAATATACGAAGGCACTTGGAACATTTATAATCCATATTGGTATCAAAACTACAAAATTATGGGGCTGGAAAGATGACTCAGCCATTAACAGTAATGGCTGCGTGTCTAGAGGACAAGGATTAGGTCCCTAGCACCCACAAGACTTTACATTTGGATAATCTTTAACTCCAAGTTTAAGGAGACCTGACACACTCTTGTGACTTCAGAGAGCATGGCATGCAAGGCTGCATAGACATACGTGGCAAAACAGGCAAAAGACCAAGATAGGTAAAATAAAAAAGTAAAATTTAGAAAAAAGGTTACAAATTTAAATCAGGAGCCCTGTCTGCTACTTAT